GTATCTTAGTGCCTGGTATTTACCACAAGCCCAGGGGGAAAACATGCACAGGCAAAAAGTTATTAGATTTTTCATCATTTTCAAGCCCGGAGAAAGCTTCAGCAACAGTAAAAAAAATGGATTTTGAGATGTGATGGATTGCTGTGCCAGCTTTTTAAATTCTGTATTTCTTTGATTTGTTGTGCTAACTAAATATCAGGAAACAGGCACATCTTGTAGCTTGAATGGATAATATTGATATGACTTCTCCCACCCCTTCCTTTCATATACTGGAATTAGCTGTCACCTATCATACCCAAAGGGAAACTGAGTCAGCTCAAGTTCCTCTTTTTCAAAAAAAAGATCCCCCTGCTTATTTCTGCCACCGCAGCAACTCCATATAACTTTGGAGACAAACAGCTTTCCCCACTACATATCACACGCCGCTTTTCCCAGATGGAAATGATTCTTAATGTTCTTACTCTTTGTCAAATTTGGAATGGGAGAATGCTCCCTAAGAGAGCAGGAGAAAAAGGCTTCCAAATTGACCGGTGTCCAGCGGCATCACGAAACATGGAAGCTTTAGCAGCGATCATTGACAAGAGAAATTTAGCTAAAAAGGCTTGGAAAAATAAGAGTAGGTCTCTTACTGCTAATAACCAAATTAAAACCACACAAAATAAGGCCCTTGGGTTTATTCTCTTCAAAACACTCGGCTTCTGGGTAATCAAATATAGTTTTTTTCTTACTGTGTTAAAGTTACAGTGAGCAAATGGGTCAGCTGCAAAGTTGGTAATCCGCAGGCCTGACTCATCAGTATTAAGACCCATGTCTTGCATCTATTATTGAAAAGGCAACCCCAGCAATTAAGCAAGATTTTAACACTAACAGATGCTACATTCCAGGAAGCACATACTTCAATGAATGATCTGAATAGACCTAAAGACATCAAAATGGCCCCAGATTCCATTTTATTTCAATTAATCGGAAGACCAGGGAGGTTTTCAAAGTACCAGGTCATGTGAGTTTGCTCGGGTCTAAAGAAGAAAAGCAGGACCTGAACAGGCAAAGGTAAATCACCTGCACTTCCCTTCAGCATTTCTAAAAATTGTGTAAAGTTGAATGCAAAAGAAAGGGGGAACTGTGAAATACAGGGAACACTAGCCCATGAACTGTATTTTCATTCAGTTTTTGTTCTTAACCTGCTAATTTCCTGGAACTCCACCCAAAGGTTATATCTGGCCCTATCCCCTCAAAAGCAGCTACTCTCTAGTGTGGTGGGGAGAAAGTTATTTTAATAACCTGCAAGATAAAACAGATTTAAAATAATCTGGATAAACTGTAGGCTCACCTTCCTGTTACCCGGTATCCTTTCTCCAGGCCAAAAGAAGGAAAGGGGAAAAAAAAAAAAAAGAATTTCATTAACACATCCACAAGAGCAGTTGGCATTTGCTCTGTGCCAGTCTGTAGTAACATATTGATTCTTTCTTTGAAGAAGAGAGGCACAGAGCAGAGAAAGAAAGGACAATTCACTGCAAAAAAAAAAAAAAAGTTTCCAACTACAGCCTGTCAAAAGGCTGGGGGGCACTGCAATGTGGAGAGCCTCCCCACCCCCCAATTTTGGCAAATCTTGGCACTTGGAAGCAGAAGGAGCATCCAGAGGTCCCAAACATTTTAAACATTCAGTGTGACCATCTGTCACTGACAAAGTCGCTGAACAGAATGAGCAATTATCCAGGCCCTTTTCAAATGCAAGTCATCAGCTGCAAGCCGCCAGGCTGCCAAAAGGCACCAGGCCAAAGAGCAGGCAAGCAGAGTGGCCCTCAGGGAGCCAGGATCGGTCTACCTGAGCAGGTGAACAAAACAAAGATAACTAGGTGACCGTCATCCCCAACTTTCAGGATGCAGATAGCCACAAACCCTTTTAAGGGAAGCTAAAACATGGGTAGTACTTCTAAAATTATTAATTGCTAGTGGAACAGCCACTGTGTTTGGCTGGCTTTGGCAGGGGGCTGCCAGTTCGTTCTTCAAATTCATTGCTGTTGCTTTTAGAAAGTGGAGAAAGAGGCATTTAGGATTTTTGGGAGACAACACCCTGTATTCCTCACTTTTTGGTGTCACGTTCTTGGCTTAGGGATGGAGGAAGAAGCAGAGTGTTTGCTGAAGACACAATGCCAGTTTCCTCTAAATTTGGGGGAAGAGATCAGGAGCCATCTGCAAGATTAGGTTATTATTCCTCTCCCCGGGAGCAATTTCTCTTGTCTTACTCATAGTTACCTGAGGAAGCCAGCACCAACAGCTACATCGTTTATCTAAACCATGGTTAACCTGCGTCTGTCTATCTTCTGAGTCCAAAGCTTGCTTCTGTAATTTTGGCTGCAGCTGGTCAAAGGGGGATCCTACAGCTTATAGGAAACAGTTATCTATTTAATCATTTTAAAACTGATTATATGCTGTGAGTTCAGAGTCTCTAATCATACTAAGTCTCCATTTGGTTCCTCCATCAGCAAGGCCAGAGCATATTATGACCTTGCTAAATGATCACTCAATTCTGTTTCCTTGCTCTTCATTTTCCCCTTTGGAACATCTTTATTAACAGCACTTAAGCTTCCTCTGACTGTGAAATTCAGATTCTTCCATTCTGATAACATGTCCTTCCACTTAGATCTCTGTCTGTCTGTCTTTTGCTTATATACCAATGAATCTAAATGATTCCTGGTGATTTACAAATACAGCACAAATCATTAATTATAAAACAAGAAATAGAATCGCAATAAAACCACAGAACCACAAAATAAAATCAGACTAAGGTAATCATTGGCCCCAAATCCATCTAAACTTCTAAAAGCCCTGCAAGGAAGTTCATTCTTGGCAGCCTTATAAAGCAGTTGCCAGGGTACCCACCCAAGTCAGACATCTGGGCACAAATGTGGGGTTAAAGATTGTCTTGAGTTCCACCTAATAGCTGAGCATGTAGTTTCTGCAGAAATTTGATTGGTAGCCAACTCTACTGCCAATTGTCTACCACTGCCACACGCATGGAAAGTTGCATGTGGATGTGTACATATAACCTCAGAACTTGGGGTAATATGCACTTCGAAATTTCTGCCAAATTTACTCCTTTGTCAGGTAAGCTGGAACTGAGTTCTCAAAAGACAGCTCTCAAATGCTCACTGTGTCAGATGCCACCCATGTTCTGAAGAACCATGGAATGAGATAGGAGAATCTCCAGCTGAACAGGCCTTTGGATGGCACTGAAGAGGCTACTGGAAGGGCCACATGAGGACACCCTTGAATAGGACCTCTCTTAACATTGTTGATAAAAGAGAGCTTTTCCAACTCCTCCTTGAGAATGGCATTTTCTCCCATAGACTTCTCTTTTTCCTCCAAAGAGGAGACCTGCTCAACATGAACTGCAAATACCAAGTAGAAGAACAGCACTGGCTGAATAGAGAAATATTTTATTTATGTACACACACATATGCACATAATTCCTTTTTATTGCCCTGGCCTCAAAGCAACACTGACATGCCTGATCCTTCTGTGAGAAAAAATACGTTTTCCACAGCCTATTCAGAGCTCATAAAGTGGCAGATGCTAAATTATGACACTAAAGACCCTCTTGAAAAACAGGATTCATTTAGCCCAAGTTTCGGCTTACAGAGGTTCTTTTGCATTCTGAACACTCCAAAAAGGGCCTTTACTGCTCAAAGGCAAAGTATTAGCATCAAGTGGAGAGTATGAATGTTCATGCCTGGTGAAGAATGTGTCTGCAGAAGTTCTGTCCTGCATCCTAAGTGGGCATCTAAATATTTACATTTATATCAAATATGGGCATATCAACCACAGAGCTCTATTACAGATGCATTTACTAGGACAAGGAAAAGCCAGACTCCAAATGAATCATTTAACATTTTGCAAATACCATTCACTTTTCTTCTGAGGGTTACAGCTTCACTGGCAGTGTCCTTACAACACATTTTAGAGAATGGGCCAGCTAGGCGTTTCTCTACTCTGCAAAGCCTGCGTTCATGGTTAGGTCTGCTAAAGAATTAAAATCCAAATGTTTCCAAATAATCACTCAGTGCTTTGAGAATCCACTAGAGATGAAAGGATGAGTTATAATGGAAGAGAGAAAAAAAGAAAGGAGACACCATGTAGCATAAGAGCAGCTTTGATGAACAAGCAGACCCAAGATTAAATGCAAACTTATGATTTTATATGTCTTGAAAATGTCAGGAGCTGGGAATGCAGAGATCATGTCTTTACTCAACTGAAACGCAGGACATTTTACAAAATTACATTGTCTTAGATCATCCTTTTTATATTGCTTTTCTTTTGACAACACCAGTAATACATGACTGTACTGCCACTCCATTGTATCCTTACAATCACTCAGGCTAAAAACCACCCAATGAGCTTTGCAGCTGAGAGGAGAACTGAACCCAGGACCTGGTCTGGATGGAATGATTCCACCAAAGCCTGCTGGAAACTACACTGGGTAGCAATTTTCTCGGCAACGCGAATCCTGCTCAACCACACAGAAAAAATGCATTGCTTATGCTCATCCTTTCTATGGGGGTTGACTTACGGAGCATGCCTTCCTGAAAGACAGTGAATGAGGACTGAATTCCTTCTCAGATTATGCAAATCCACCTGGACAGAGGAAATATGACAAGCGCTGTCGTAGAAAGAATTCTATAAGGGTTCACCCAGCCACAAAAGAGCCACATGGTTGCTGATCCTAAGCAAAATCATATCAATCCTATCCCAAAGGCAAGCAACTTTCAGCTTTAGCTAACAAACCATTGCCCTTACTGCTACCATCAGCACTGTGATTGGGGATGGGGAGCAAATCTGCAACCACCCCTACTAATTTATCACACTGGGAGAAAAAAACAATTGCATCAAATTGCCCACTTAGGAGGACAGGGAAAGGGAGGGAAGGCTGGTTGTGAATTTTTTCCAGCCCTGAAAAGGATGAGAGGAACCACGAAGCAGAAACCTCTGCTTTCACTCACCTGTGAGGTGCCTGCCATGCCATATCCCTGCCCGCTAACATGAAGCTGGCAAAGCCAGCTCATGAGGGCAGCCCAGCCTCCCCATCCCTCAGGGAAGGCCAAAAGGATTTGCACAGAAGGACGGATCCATCTGCACTCTCCGCAAATTGGGAAGGGGGGCAAATTGAGGTCCAGGAGACCAGCCCCTTAATGTCTCTTTGTTCTGCTCCTACCCAGTTAAACAGGCATTGCTCAACAGGTCACCGAACAGAGTCCTTGCTACGAGAAGCGCAGCCCTATAAAGGACTTAAACAAACAAAGCTTGCAAAACAGCAGCTGCTGTTTTCATCATATTTCTAGAAGAGAATGAGAGGGTTGCCACTTTTTCTTCCTTTTTTTAATTTTTCTTTTTTTAAAAAAAAAGAGCACTTCAGGAAAGTCTCAGCACATTGGGTAGAAGTATACGTAATAGGTAGGGAAATGTTGCCATCCAGAGCCTGTGACTTCAGATACTAACCAAGAAGAGCTTCCATGACTTGGATCCTGTGGCTCCTTTCTGAAAACATCACCCTCAATTCACAGCCTCCTTGACATAATCCGCATGTCGGGACAACTCCCCACCACCACCCCAACACACAGGAGCATTCATCTCATCTGAAAGTCTTTTTCCACTGGCTGAGTCCAATCCAAATTCAGTGTAACAGTTCACCCTTTTGGGGCGTATCTGCAGCACTTCATATTCTGGTGCCCACCAGCCCAGGGGAGACCTCCCCCCTCCCCATTTTTAACTTCTCCCAAAAGGGAGGAAGATTGAAGGGCTGATTCTCTTTGCCTCACCAAATCTCTGAATTACAAAGGCTGGAGAGAAATCCAAGAGGCATTTGGATCAGTCTTAGCAGAGTCATGACTTCCAGTTTTTCCACTTTCAGTTGCTTTTGCTTTTCTTGGGGAGAAAGAGTCAACCTCTAGATTAGGGGGGTTTCAAAATGCCACAGCTAGTATTTTGGTAGTTGGGGGTCACTTGCTATTTCTTCAGGCTGCTGGGTGAGGATCGGTGAGCCTGACTGGGCTTCACTATCTTTCAAAGTGAGTCTTTTTTCAGCGGTACCATCAGAGCCACCTTTACTTCAACGAATAAGAGAGGCCACCTTCTTTCAGGCTCTGGAACTCATGGCGAGAAGAGGCCAGGTCAGGTCCTTCTCTGCAGACCCTCTGCCAAAAGGGAAAGGCATTTGCTGAAATGGGATGAAAGGTGTCTGCTGCTTTTTTAAAAATTATGTGCTTTGATTAATTTTTCTAGTTTTAACAATGATTCCATGCTTCCTTATCAGCCATCCCCAAGGAGCATTTTACTTAAAAAAAAGAAAGAAGAAATGATATAAATGTATTAGTTTGGGGTACTGTTTATGGCATCAGGCTAGAAACTGGGGGCCGTGAGTTCTAATCCCACCTTAGGCACAAAGCCAGCTGAGTGACCTTGGGCCAGTCATTCTGTCTCTGCCCTAGGAAGGAGGCAAGGGCAAACCACTTCTGAAAAATGTTGCCAAGAAAAGTGCAGGGACTTGTCCAGGTAGTTGTCAGGAGTCAAAACTGACCTGAATGTGCACACACACAAACTTAATAAAGAATCATCTCAGCTTCTTTAACAGCTTTGCCAGAGGTGAACTGATCTGTGGTCACTGCTGAAGAGTTGGTAGGACAACTTGATGTTGACTCCAAGACATAAATGTATCAATTCTGGGAACCTCTTTATGCCTACGGCTTAGGCAATCCTTACTAAATGGTGGATATTTATTGTTGGTCGCACAGTCAGCCAGAAATTTAGACTGGATTTGGCATCTTTAACCACCTATCGAGTCCTTCACAAGGGCCTGCGATGGGCAGATGCTGTTGTTTGATGGTGTTCAAGGTATCATCGCAGGATGTGAGCTGTTCCAAGTAAATTGGAAACAGCTGTTTCCAAGTAAATTGCCTTTTGCAATTGACCAATGGTGGTTTTGTCCATGCCGATGGTTTTCAAGGGGTGCTCCAGATGTTTTGGGATTGCACCCAAGGCGCCTATAATTATTGGTACTACCTTTGCTTTCTTTTGCCACAGTCATTCTATTTTTATTTGCAAGTCTTTGTATTTTGTGGTTTCCTCCAGTTCTTTCTCTTCTGTTCTGCTGTCTCCAGGTACTGCAATGTCCACTATTCAGACTTTTTTGTCTTTCTTATCAACAGTTGTTTAGTCGGGGTGTTATGCTGCTGTTGCTGCTGCTGCTGTGGATGTAATTTCAGTTTTGGTCCTTGGCTTAAGGAATGATTGAACAGGTAAGAACCAAAACTGAGCCAAACCCCAAAACTGACCATCGAATTGAACTGGGCCTCTTCCTGTACGCTTTACAGCACATCAATAGCAATCCAAGGAAAGCAGCAAGACAACCTGCACTTATTAATCAGGTTTTGTGACTAACTTAGTTATATTTTAATAAGCTTATAACAAGAGCAATAAAGAGTTTTTTATTTTTTTTTCAATGCTAGAAATGAAGTTTCTATTTTTAAAAAGTTACCAACACTTATGCTAATGGGTTTTTAAATTAAATAAAGCCCTCTCCCCAGGTTCAAATTACTAAAGATAATTTCTTTGACTTTGCTTCAAAATTATATTACCCTCTCTTTTTCTTTCAGAGAGAATGGGAAAGAAAGGGGAAAAAAAGAAAAAAATGTACTGTAATTTGTAAAAACAGGTTAGAATTACTTCGCATATAGGTCAATAGTATCTTTTTGGTGCAATCTCTATTTAGAGATAAGATAATTTAATATGTATTACACTGCTTGCAAACAATAACCCTTTGAACTGTTGTTTCAGAACAATATGTTCTTACAGACATTAGATGGAAAAAAAACATAGATCTAGCATTGACTAAACATTAGAAAGGAAAGCCTCCTTTGTAAACTGAAGAATTAGCTTTACCCGTGTGTGGAAATATCATTTAGGATAAAAAATCAGAGAGACGGAATAGCCAGGAGAGCTTGTTTGAAACTGAAATCCAAGGCATTAACTTGAGCCAAGCTAACAGAAAATAGTTGTAGAAGCAAGTACTAGGTACAGATAATTAGTTCAGAACGTATTTGAGCATGAATATTTTATAATGCATCAGAAAAGTCATTATGGAGAAGAATTAGAGAGCCCAACCGACTGGAAGCACTGGAAAAGTGATACGCCAGGTCCCAATAAAGAACAGTCCAAGAAAAAAGGCACGTTTATTCAGTCCAAGATTTCATTAAAGCTATAGCCACCCATTACAGATTATACGTGGTCACTGGTACAAAACATCTGCTGAGTTTCAATGATTTAACTAAGGACAACTGTAAGAATATTAGCTCTACCACCAATCACAGAGGCAGGTTCTGTTTTCATCTTAGGAGTCCCTATTTTTATTTTTACACTTGCTTTTCCCCAAGGAGCAATTCGGATTGCTCATTATGGTCCCATTATGAAATAATTTCACTCTGCCACTGCTTGAAGTTTATCTAGTCCTCATTAAAATGCTCCCTTTACTGACAAAAATGGAAACTACTGACTGATCTAAAAGCATTATGGGAAAGCCAGCAAAGAGGAAACTGGGTGATATGGTTCTGAAATGCTGAATATATTTAAAGCCCCTCGCTAGTCGAATGGCCTGACCTCAGATCAGAGGCTCTCCTCCTATCATACACAGACAATGGACAGCTTGTGGCTTGGAGAGTGGTAACCTGGTTTTCTGGCTGCCTCATTTCCCAGGACATACTTCATCTGGGAAATTTAGGGATGAGTTCAATCCTTCAAACTGACTGTCTACATCCTCCCTGACTTGTACCCCTAAGACTCAGTGTTCATTTAGCCCCACTGGCTGATGCCATGAGGCCAGAACGCTCTTTATCGCAAGCAGCTAATCCTTACAGTGAATGCTGGTGCCTTTGTGAGCTAGGTGGTGGCAGGCAGGCATGTAAGACAGGGTGCTGTAGAGAGTAAGGAAAATGACTTTGATGGAGATATGCAGCAGACATTGCCTAGGCAAAAGGGGCTGAAGCATTTTTTAAGTCCAGAGCAATGAGATAACCTGTGGAAATGGCTTAGGCAGAGGCCATCCCAATTCACTGAAGTCTAAGAACGGGGAGGAGGAACAGCACAACCAGACTTGCAAGAATCTGTGGTTACAGCCACTCTCAGTAAACGTAGTTTGTTTTAGCTTTCCTGTGGAGTTGATTTCCTGATCTGGTCCATCTAGTGGAGCTGACAGGTGTCCTCAGAGCTCTCCCTTCAATGCTTTTGCTCAGCAAAGTCTGGCAGCTATAAGGAATAAAAATTAAATTAAAAGGGACCTAAAATGGACTTTTCCAGATAAGGATAGAACTCTTAAGGTCGCACGAACATACCTATTGTTAGTTAAAGAATGACAGCAGCTGTCTTAGCATCTAGCTTGTTAACTGTATTTTCACCAAAGCAGAAGCAGCTTTGCATTAGGTGAAAAATACTTCTTTGCTGGAGCCTAACAGCCTGACATTCTGTGTTAATATTGGCCGTGGAAGTGATGATAGAAGGAGATGCCGGACTGAGTGATATGTATGCCCCAATAATAAGTAGAATTGCTAGGAAACTCCCAGATTTTACCCTGCAGTTGTGCCTAAGACAGAGCTAGAACTCATAATCTTCTGGTTTCTAGTCCAGCACTTTTACTACTAGAGCAAACTGCTTTTGATACATCAACAATTCCCTGCAGTTTTCTAGGCAGCATTTTTGGACATGGTTCGCCCTTGCCTTCTTCCTAGGGCTAGAGAGAAGGACTGGCCCCAAGTCACCCAACTGGCTTTGTGCCCAAGGCAAGACTAGAACTCACCATCTCCTGGTTTGTAGCCTCATGCCTTTAACCACTACACCAAACTGGTTTTCAGCTATGGAATACTAAGTGTTTACTTCATTACTTTTTGTGCCATTGCCTCAAATACTCTATAATAAATTGCATTGGTTCATTATTATTTAGAATTTCATTTTTGGACTTCAAGATCATACGTTCTTGTTGAAAAAAAATGACACTGTTCAGGTCCCAATGGAACAGGCACTGGTGGAGGACTCTGTTTCTTATATTGCTCCTTCTAGATATCTTGGGACTAAATACGTTAGTGTATGTGTAGTCTCAGCATGTATGGAGAGGTAACAAGTCATAGAAGGTTGGCTTAGCAAATTCAACAGTCACA